TACTGTGGTTCAGATTTTTTTAACTTCTTCAGCAGAGGTTGCTTTATAAATTCTTGCTTGTTCAGGAAAAAAATTCTACTGAACTTACTTATCATCCAAGAGTTTTTCATTATCGTTATTTAGAAAAAAAGTTCTTGCTCAAGATTTTTTTCTACTAAATCTGAGTTAAACAAGGTTTTTATGTGAGTATAAACTCTTTCAATGTTTCATTATAATATCAAGAGGCTAACAGGTGTTAAAGAAATATTTTGAAAAGTTTTATTCTGTGCCATCAGTTGTATTTAATCCCTCTAAGATACAGTCCTGTGAATCAAGGTTTCTCTCACGTGCTATGTCAGTCTGCAACTGAATCTTATAATCTCATCCCTGAAAATAAATATTGAGCTTATCTGTACTATTGCAGATAAGCTGGTCATGCTTACATTTGCAAAGGATCACTCTTCTATTTTCCACTCTAAGTAAAACTTTTTATGTATTAATTTTTCATAGAATTATTCAGGGGGAAAAAAGCAGAAAAGCAGCTTTTCTGTGTGTTTTAATTCATTGGTAACTGAATATGTGTTTTTAGATCTCACATAGTAATTTTGGTGAATTATTACCCATCTCAAAGGCAAAAAGGGGGGAGTTTTCATATTTCCACTGGTGTGGTGGAGCGACCTTAAAACACTTGTTTAGTCACTTTTTGAGTGACCTTAAAACACTTGTTTAGTGACAGATGGTTATTGGACTTAATACTGTACCTAATAAAACATGCAAGGATTCTATTATAGCAGAGTGACTGAACAGTGAAGCCATTTAAACTTCCACGGAAGCTTCAAAGGAGGACTGAACATAAACACTGCTCAAACTTCATAATACCACTAGAGGTAAAAAGAGAAGTTTTGTATTGTTTCAAGAGATACAGATCACTGAAGCAAAGTTATCCAGCCTGTAGTCTCGGGCCAGAACGAGAAGAGGGACCCAGCATGGAGTGAAGCTGGAGCTACCACTGCTTTTGCAGGAAAAGTGGGAGTTACTAATAAACTGTTACTACTACAGTTGCTAGCAGGGTACAACACAATTCTCCCTCTGTAAAGATGGTACCTGAGCAAACCAGTAGCCAAACAGACAGCAGGTGGGAAGATTTACATACCCACAGAGTTATAATTATTTGATGGTAGCATGTCAAAATCCCACAAGCAAATTAGATCCTTTTTTTTCTTTATCAAGTTCCAAAGAAAAACATGGTGACTGTCCCATTCTAAATATGGCAGAAGAGGTACAGAGTAGAAGTCTTCTAATTGCTAGTTTTCAAGCACTGTCCAAATAAACTGTTCTGGTACTAAGCTGTGACCAATATGCCTTCATTTGATATGGCTTAAGATGGCACTTTTCTTGCATTTCTCCATTTTCACCACAGTATTGATAAAAATAAGGGAAGGGATTGGGAGGATAATTGAAAATCATAATAAAATCATAACAAAAATAATCTTAAAAAATGCATCCTTGACTAAATACTGTCCAATATTCACTTTGCTGGATTTCTATCTGACTGCCCATGAAATAAAGGACGGTTTTGGAAGCTATTAAAAAGCTTTGGGTTTAGTTTACACTTTGACATGTATGGCTTTCCTTAAAAACAAAACAAAGCAAAACCAAAACAACAAAAAACAACAACAAAATCCCAAACATCATTACTAAAGTCTTTGTCTTTTTTTGGGGGGAGGGGGATTTGTTGTTGTTGCTGCTAGGAGGTGTCTGATCACAAATAAAGCAGTAGTAAACAAAGTGATTACCATTTCGGCTTCAGAAAGAACTTTGCTTCTAATGCTGTGAGAAGATCCTGCTGTTGCTGTATTTTATTTCTACATGATATATGACAGCTTTGGTAATTCTAGTAGCTCTCTCAGATACTCAACTTTCGGTACCGACACATGTTAACAAAACTGTAACATCTGACAAACGTGGAAGAAATTCAGTCCCATCTGAAAAATTCTGAGTGGGAACAGTGGGTAGAGGGCAACAGCTCCTCCTTTGCAAGGACTCTCTGCTCCAAGGTCCCATAGGCAGCATATTTGTCCCCTTTTCATTCAACACTGAAGTGAAGCTACTGTGATTGATGGGGGGGTGGGCTACACTGTTATCAGGATGCTAATGCTGAACTCTGCATGACTGTTTTAGCAGATTCAGACACACTAAAGCCCTTATCCTCACAGCATCCACAAGGAACTGATAGAATAAGGCTGACCAGTTGTCATACAGGATATGGATAATATAGCAATGATGCTGACTGGCACACATGACTGAGAATGTAAAACCTTTCCTTTAGGTACAGATGACTCCATTTCTCCTACCAAAATTATTCACAATTAAAAAAATAATACAAATTATTAATCTTCTCTGTGGTGCTGATAGCTGTTAATAGCTCTGCACTTTGGACATATATCAAATTATAGCTTTTGTCTCTCATGATGATTTCATGAGCTTTGAATTGCCTCTGACCATTAACTAGAAATGCACTTAACCTGAGATTAATCTTGAAAGACAGGAAATGAAAGGTAATTCTGTGCAGGCCTTCCAAGACATGAATTAATCTGAGTCTTTGACACAAACATGGTTTAATACTGTGAAATAACAAACGAGCTATCCTCATCTCCCTGCGAAGTCCCACGTCTATAATGTTTACCCTAAGAAATCTAGGGAGGAGAAACGCTTATCCATGCTCATCACTGACTTTCTCTACTTCACCCTGGAATAAAGCTAGTGCTTCATTTCCACTCCATTTCAAAACATGGTCACCCTTCACATGCGTTCCTTAGCAAAATATTGTTTTTCATTAGAAAGACACAGAAGAATCCAGGTTATGCAGTGAATGCAGATCTTTTACAGGAGGAAAGGCAAAATATCAATTATTTTTTATAAATCTGTAAATGGTTTATGGTCAAGTAACACTGGGAATTCTCTCTCCCTCCCTCACCATAAAAAAAGAAGAAATTACAGCCTCTGAAGAAATAAGGCAGAGCAAAGAATTACCATATAGTTGAGTTACCTGCACGCATAGTCTTCTGTGGTGTCTTCAGGCATCATGTATGTTTTTGACTTGAAACTGCTGCTCATCACAAGGTGGCCAAATTATATTCTCCTCTTATTTCACCATATATTTACATTCAAATCCTTTTATTATGATATAAAACACTTTAGTGACTTTTAGAGTATACTTGCAATGCTCTAATAGTTTTGAACTGCTTAAAAGAGTTATAAAATGAAGATACTTAGCACCTTGCCAAGATAGCTGCAGTATCTTGTACTATTCACATTTGCTCAGCAGTAAGAAAAGCAACTTAGACTTCTGCTTCAATAAGAACAGTAAATTGGACTTCAAATTATTTTCCTCAAGCAGAGGTTCACAGAAATAGCACAACCACATCATTTTAATGGGATCTTTAGGACATTTTACCTTTTGTTAGGTGCTGCAGAAGTTTTCCTTTTAACTATCAACACACTGCAGCCACCTGAGCTGGGAGGAATTTATTCCTGGGGAAGCTTGAATGACACTCTCCTGGTAGCAAGATCAAAGCAGAGCTGGAGGAAAAGTGCCCAGAGGGCCAGATCCTCAAGGGACACCCGCCCTGCCCCCATAGCTCTGCAGGACCCTCTCCTCCCTGCCCCTCTTCAGCCCTCCCGCTTTACCAGAGGTCACTTCAGGAGTCACTCACCTTCCCCATCCCTCTGCTCCTGCCGCCTCAGTCCCCGGAGAAAAGCAGGGAGCGGCTCTCCGTTTCCCCGAGGTCTCCGAAGGGGAGAACCCTTCCGGGGGGTGTCCCCACCCCGCTGCGCAGCCAGAGCGTGTCAGCGGAATGCACTGAGGCACCCTCCCGCAACCTGTGGACGCTTTTCCCCGGGAGCATGGGGAAAAGCGGCCCCTCGGCCTCCCGAGGGGCTGAGCCCTGACGGCTTGCCGCGGGCTCTGCCCGAGCTGTGGATCCGACCTGTTGCTTTACTTTTTACACGCAGAGCCGTCCGCTCAGAGGACTACCGCGGTAATCCGAGACGTGTGAAAGGACAGAGACGCGCTTCTCCTCTCAACCGCTTTCAAAGGCTCGCAGTGAGCCCCGAGCAGCCGGCCCCAACCTGAGGACCAAACCTGCTGGTTGCGGACTACCCCGAGGGGGCGGCCCGGGGGAGGCGGGAGCGTCGCCTGCAAGGGGATATCCCTCTCCTGGGTGTAACGCATTATGTATGATTTTAACCATGGGGTCTCAATCCTCGCCAAAAGCCAAAATCCAGGGAGGGCTCCAGGTGCTGCAAAACCTGGGGGAGACCAGGGATGTCCCGCGGCACCACCCTAGTCTTGCAGGGCTCACTCCGGGACGGATCCGCAGGTAGGTCCCAGAGCCCATGGGGCGCCCTGCGCTTCACCCCGGACCGCCCAGCGCCGCCATCCTCTGGCCCTACTGTGAAGGGAAGCACCGCCCGACCCCCTGCCCGGGAAAGGACCCCGAGCATGAGGTGAGCTGCGAGCACAGCCCTGCGCCAGAAGAGCGAGGTGAGCGGGCCCGCCTGCCCTTCCCGGAGGGTAGCAGCCGTCTCCCATGCCTGGCTCGGTTATCCCGGGAGCCGTAAAATCCCAGACACCTCCTCCCGCTGCTCCTCAGCCGCCCACCGACGGGCGGGCTTTGTTTTCAAGGCTCGGCTTGGCAGAGTCTGCTGAGCAGCTAATAACATAACAACTCGACTTTGATCAATCCGAACTAATTACCCCTCTTAATTAAAGTCTTTAGCGGTTGTTTCAGTGTTTTGGCAAGGACGCTGGAGAGCTTTGCCGTGCGGCAGCGCCAACGCCGCGCTCCCCCCCGGCCCGGCCGCGCCGCAGCTCCGGGCCGGCAGCGCAGCCCCATCCGCCGCAGTCACTCCTCGGCAAAGCTTTATTTCCACCAGGTCAACGAATCGATTTTTTTTTTCTTTTTTTTCTTTTTCTCCACGTGCAAGAATCAATCTGAAATTCAAATTCGTACACAGAGAACATATCTGTCCATATAGATACTATATTCGGGGGAAGAGGGAGAGGAGGAAACTAAGAAGGGTGGGATAACCAGCAGGCAGTGGAGACAAGGCAGGATCAACACAGTGGGAATATATATACATCGAAATAATTAAAGTGGTGCAGCATTCCCGGCTCGGGTAATACAGATCCCAAATAAATACAGCAGAAATTGGCTTGGCGCTTTTTCTTTTTTTTTTTCTTTTTCTTTTTTTTTTTTTTTTTACCCATCTCTCCACCTGAGATGCAACGACAACAACAAAAAAAAATGCATCTTTAAAGAACAAACGAAAAAATAATTAAGAAAACCAATCAGTCCCATAAACGTTAGTGGTAATATAGAGCATAATACACAAAAACCGCTTAACAGGTGCATGCAAAGAGGCAGTGGGGGCTCGCACGGGCGGCCACCCCTCAGGGCTGGAGCGGCGGCGGGCCCTGCAGCAGCGGTCCGGGCGGGGGCGGTGGGTCGGGCCCCCCCAGCTCAGCGGGGGGTCGGGGCAGTCCCAGGGCGCTGTCGTGCAGCTTGCGGACATGCTTCTTGAGGTCAAAGTTCCTGCAGAAGCCTTTGCCACAGGTGGGGCAGGTGAAGGGCTTCTTGTCGTTGTGGGTGTGCATGTGGAAGGTCAGATTGTACACCTGGTGGAAAGCCTTGTTGCAGATATTGCACTTGAACTGCTTCTCTCCGCTGTGAGTCAGCTTGTGGTTTTTGTAATTGCCTGGGTGAACAAGACAAGAAGGGCAAAGGGATCTGGGTTTGAGACATCTATGCTGCAAAAGGGAGAAAAATATAAAAATCCCCAAACCCTGTCTCGTGTCCAGAGCTCGGCTTTAGGCTTAAACGACCACCAATCTCTTAGCAAACGCCCACCTTCTCTCCATCATCCCCGCGGCTGTTCCTCTGACAGACGACAAGGGAATGATCGAACAAACCAAAATCACGACAGTTGCAGAAATAAAACGCCTGGATTTAGCCTTCCCAGCAACGTGTGGGGGATAAATAACTAAATTCTTGCATTTGGAGGCTAGAAAAATCAGCGAACTCGTTTGCCAAACCGCGCTGGAAGGTGCGTGTTGCAGTGCGGGGAGAACGGGCTCTTCCCGTGGAATGACTGCCCCGCGCTCCGCTCGGAACGACTGCCCCGCGCTCCTCTCGGAACGAGACCTCTGCCTCGCTCCGTGGGCTAGACCAGAGGAGATATGTCGGGGCTAGTGATACTTAAAATTAACCTGAATATCTAATAACAAAAATTGAAAACAAAATTAACTCCCCACCACCCTCCCTGTCGCAAATTGTCCCTACACTTGACCTCGACTAGGGAGAGGGAAGCCGGGCAAGAGAGAGGGCGCTGGAGACTGGTACCTTTCTGATGAAATCCTTTGCCACAAAATTCACAGACAAATGGTTTGTAGCCGGCGTGTATTCGAGTGTGCGTGTTCAGGGTCGAGCTCCTGTTAAAGGCTTTGCCGCACTGATTGCACTTGTGTGGCTTTTCCTGGAGAGAAACAAACACTAAGTCACGGCTTGTTGGCTGTTTTGCGGGGTCTGTCTTCTGTTTGGCGGGGTCTTAGTGCTGTTTTGTGTGGTTTATGAGCTGGTCTGTGGGGTGTGTGTGTTAAGTGACGGCTCGCAGCTGCCGGTGCGGGGCACCCCGAGGTGCCTACCGCGTTTGGGATAAACGAAATACCCCCGCGGCTCTGGATCGGCCGCCCCACACCCCACGCCGCTGCCTCAGAGCGGCCGGACGTCGCCGGGCAACCCGAAAAACGTGAGTGGAGGGTCTCGGGCAGAGATGAAGGGACGGAGGGGGCGCTCACCTGGGTGTGGATGATCTTGTGCCGGCAGAGCGTGCTCGCCTGTCTAAAACCTTTCCCGCAAACTTTGCAAACAAAGGGTCTGGCTCCCGTGTGCACTGGCATATGGCGCGTTAAGTTATAATGTGCATTAAACACCTGTAAAGAGGAATCAGACAAAAAAAAATAAACAGAATTGCGATTAGAAAATGAGAGTGCCGAGGGGAAGCCGTCTTTTAAAAATCAAGCAAACAAGGGACCGACAACAGGCGGACAGATGAGCGAGGACAGGAAGCTGGGGAAGGGAGATGGGCTGTGGCGCTACTTGCCTTTCCACAAACTTCACACGTGAAAACTTTGGGCTTGCTGCTCGGGGAGCCTCGACTGATCTCCGAGGTCTTATAGGCGATTTTTTCTGAGAGGATCTGAGCACTTTCTTTCATGTAGTGCTGCAACTGAACCTGCGATAAATCCTTGAAGGCCACCCCCGCCGGGTACTTGTCCACGGTCGGCAGCACCAACTTGTTCCGCTCCGCCAGGTAAGCCTTGGACTGCGGGTGCAAGGGAGAGCTGAGGAAATAAGAAGCCACTGGGTGGATGTTGACACTGGAGGACGGGTGACAGGGGCTGTCGCCTCGGTTGAAGTAGCACAGGGCTCCCATGGCGTGGAAGGAGGAGTGATTGACCACTCGGGGTCTTACCAGTTTGTACTGCTGCAAGGGCAGGGCATCGCGGGGGAAATCTCCTTTCAAGCTCAGGGCACAGTTCAAGAGATCGCCGCAGCTAAAGGAGGGTGAGGAAGAGGAGTCTAAGTGAGCCTTCCTGGGTTCCACTCCGGCCACCGCCGCTTTGGGCAGGGTGTCGTATGCCACCGGGACAAACGGGATCATGCAGGGAATGGAAGAGTTCAGATGCAGCGGGTGCTTGGGGTCGCCTTTGGCCACGGAGCCATGGAGGAGCTGCGGGACGGGGATGGAGCGGGGCTCTGGAGTCCGCGCCATGATGCGCTCTATGGAGAAGGCGAGGGGCTTGGGCGTGCTGATCATGTTGTTCCTGGCAGACAGGCTTTCTCTGGCTGGAGGAGTCGCTAGGATTTTGGTCGCCGTGTGATGGCCACTATTGTCCATGGCTGAATTGCATTTGTTCGCTCGGTTTGTGCCGCTCTGGTAGACGCCTCTTTTTTTTTTTTTTTTTTTTCTTTTCTTTTTTTTTTTTTCCCTCCTCTCCCCTCTCTCACTTTCTCTGCCTCTTTTCTTGTTACTGATCTGCGAGGAGGGAGACAACCATCATCGCCGCCACCATCACCACAGTCTCCGCCGGCGGAACCAGCCTTCTCAGTCCAGTGGACTCATGCCAGCCCATCACAGTTTACTTTGGCGCACCAATGACTCGGGACAATCGCTACTTATTTCTATCAATAGAAAGTGTTGTGTCAATAACGCAGCCAAGATCTCGCCAATCGTTAACTTCCAAGAGGAGAAGGTAAACTAGATAATTGCTCAATTCGCTTCCAACAGTCAACAGGAAAAGTTTTTCCCCCCACCCCAGCAAGCGGCTACTTTTCATTGGCGCCCGCGCCTCCCCCGCCCAGGGAAGGAGGTGGCTTTCCCTCCTCGCCACTCTCCCCTCTGCCTCCCTCCCTCTCTCTTTTTATTATTATTATTTGCAATCTGCTTAACCAGGCTTTAGAGGCCAAGCAAATCCGAGATCAATTTTCTTGTTTGGCTTTAAGTGACATCATCTAAAATCATTGTCCAAGAACTAAATAGGGATGTGAAACCCAATTCAAGGGCAAGCGCCAGAGTATTTGTCAAACGAGGTGCTGCAGAAGAAGCGGCTGGAGGGGAAGCTGTTTATTTCCTTGCCACTTTCCAGCCCGAGCTCTCTTTGTGCGTGCGTACGTGTGTGTGCCTGAGGGAGGGAGGGAGATGGCTACTCTGCTTCTGAGAATGCTCCTGGTCTGCTCACTGCTTTAAAGAACAAGGTCAGGTGGCGGTGAACTTTTGGAAAACACGGTAGACAAATAAGCGGGGGGCTTGCAGCAAGCAGACGGCGAGAGCAGTGCGTGGGGATAGAGGAACCTCCCAGGCCAAACAGGACGAGTGCTTGAGAGCAAAAGAATGACTCAAAACCTGGGGCAGGAAGAACAAGGAGGTAGGAAGAGGGAGTGCCTTTTAAATCTGAAGCACTACCTGTGTATATATATATATATATATATATATGTAACCTGCATATGCACTAAGTATAGCTTCTCTGTCCTTATATATGAGCAACACAAATACTAAAAACTCAGGGCCGGTATACATACATGAAGGAATATACAGCCCACACACTGCTTATAGGTATACATGCACCTAAACAGATAGGGTGGCCATGTATTTAAGAGAAGCTTGACGGCTCTGTTCGGGGCGGGCAGCTCCAGCAGCTGATTGTACTTACAGCGAAGCGGGGGTGGTCGGGGAGATGAGAGGGGCAGTGGTCGGTATGAGGCTTTCTGTGTTCCCGCCCATCCCACCGTCCGACAATTCGGAGTCAGGACAAGATCCTGTTCCTCCCGCCGGCTTGGGGTTCACTAGGCTACTGACTGAGAAGCCTCTACCGAAGTAACCCCCGGGAGAAGCCAGGAGTCCCTCCGTTCCTTCCACCTCCCGCAGCGAGCGGCTGGGTCGCTTCCCTCAGCGGAGGGACCCATGGGGCAGCCTTCCCTCCAGATGTCCAGCACTACCTTTCTCCGGGGCCGGGGGAGAGAAGCAGGAGGTCTTGGTTTTGCTAATGGAGAGAAGCCTCCAGCGAGGTAGGGAGGCCCTGCCCCCGCTGCTCTGGTACCAGCCGAGGAACCCGCAAAAGGCTGTGTCTCCCCACCACCCCGCGGCCCAGGACAACCAACTTGGGGGAGAATGAGAGCAGGGATGACGGGCTGGGGACCTGGGGAGGGAGGCAGGAATGGAGGGACGGAAGGAGGGATGAAGGGAGGAATCCTCGCCCTCGGCGGTTGGACCTGGTTGACGCCGCCCCGGGCCACCGCGGCTCCGTTTGAGGAGGGCAAAGCAGCGGCTGTTCCACCACGGTACCTCCGCGGCTGGGAGCTCCGAGCCAGCTACGGGGAGCTGAGGGGGAATCCTGCGGCCTCCGGAACGGACGTTGAACGACGGGCCGTGGCCCAGGCATCCCTCGCTGCAGAGGATGTGCCCCACACGCCCTGCGACCTCCTTGTCCGCCCCGTCCCGCAGGTGCCTCACATTACAGGCGGGCAACAAGAGTGGAGGCTGGCCTCGGAACCTGCCGGGGTGGACATAGCTGTGCGGGCAAGCGTGGGACGAAGGAAAGGTGGAATCCGAAGGAAAGGCTGGGCCCTGAGGGGTCTCCAGCCGTGATGCCCCGCTCCAGCTCTGCTCCCTGTTTCCCCCAGACGTTGACTGGGGTTGCGCCGCTCACCTCCCCCTCCCTCTCCCCCAGTCCCCCATGGCACATGGGTCAGGGAGTTAAGACCGTAATTGCTGCCCCGGATTGGGCTGCCGCAGCCGCCTGCCTCTTACCTGCTGCTTCCCGCACTGGCACCGCCAGCCCCGGCTCGGCCGGTGTCACCGACCTGGGGGGAAAGGAAGGAGGCAGCGGGGACCGGGGGGGGAGGGGGAGGGGGAGGTGGGAAGGGGGCCGGACCCGTGTCCCCCGGCTTCTCCGCCGTGTCGGTGTCTCTCGCATATTTTGTGCCCGCCAGAGGAGAGTTTCCTCCTTCAGAGCAATTTACATTTAATTCAATCTAGGCAAATTTCCTCTTGATTGGTGCTGAAGAAGGGAATTATTGTTGAGTGGGTTTTAGAGGTTTCAAATCCCATATACTTAATATGTTAACAGCTTGCTCTTAACTGGTCTTTTTGGGATTGACTTTTTGACATGCGTTTGAAAGTAAAATATGTAGTGTCATTTGAGCAGGGTAAATATCCCAAAGCAGCAATTACAGCCCCGCCACTGCAATTATCCTGGTCTCCTCCATAGTGAGATACACTCTTGGAAAAAAGGGAGCTTTATTATTCGTTAGTTCCTTTCGAATACGTCTCCCTTTCTTTTTGTACTGCTCAGGAAAACTTGTTAGTGCCTAATTATTCAACAGCGATCTAAAAGAAATGTTTTTAAAATTTCTTTGGGGGAAAAGTAATCTCGTTCTGTCTCAGAGATGGAACCTTGTTAGTTCTGTAGTTGCCCGCAATATAGATAGTTACTAAAATCAATGTCGATATACTTTTTTTCAGTCCTGTCCTGAGCCTTGCTTTCCTCTCGGACCGCACCTTTTTAGCGATTTTGCGTTATCTGCTGAGCCGCAAGTATCCTGCAGTCGTGCTGGTGCAGGTTTGTTTTTCCAGGGGCAGAAAGATTTACAGGCTCTGAAGGTAGCAATAAGGAATTTCTTGGCTGGTTTTTTTTGCGAGTTCACGGAGGGCCCGGGGCTCCCTCCATTCTGGTGGCACGTACCGAGTCCCAGCAGAAGGAGCCGGCGGGGGAAGGAGCTGGCCCGCCGGCCTCCCAGTGTTACGAACCGTCGGAGGAATTAAGGGCAAAAGTTTTGCCTCGAGTTGATTTCGTGCTCTGCCCGGGAAAGCTGCTGTTCTCTTTTTCCCCGTAATCAGCTTTGTGTTTCATTCGCTCCTAAGCTATGTTCTTGATATTGCTCACTTGCATTATTATCATAACGTATCTCTACATGCATTCAAAATCCGAGTCACCAGCGAATTCATCTCGTCGTCAGGATTACTCCAATCCGATCCCAGAGGCGATTAGAGGGAGGTAAAATACCGCCTAAAGCCTAATCTTTAATTTCTTCCCCCTTAATAAAATGAATAATTCCATTGCGTTTTTAAGTAAAAAATGAATTGAAAAGGATAATAACTCCGCTAACCTTCTGTTGCGTGTATTAATATTTTCCTGGGAGTGTTTTACTGAAACCCTCCTGCCCGAGCGGACTGCTCCCTCCTCGCGCCTGGAGCCGGGTCTTCCCGGCAAGGGAAGAGCAGGAAGGGCAAGCGACCCGCCTAGCTCCGAGGCACCTCCGGGCAACCTAAATGTGGAGGGAACGGGGAAGGTTCCAGAGCATCCTTCTGGCAGCGACACCGGCGGACCCGACGGCTTCTGGCCAGATCCTGCTTACTGTTATTATCGCTCTAATAGTCGTCATTAATAGTGCCACCACCGGGATTCGCGGCTAAAGGCTGAATTTGCTCTCGATACGCATCATTCCGAGCCGTCCCCTTCCCAGCAGCCTAATTTGTGAAGAGGTGATTTACCCCGGCATGGAACAGCAGCGCCGTCCTCCCCTCAGCCCCGCCGCCGCCCTGCCCTGCCCGCGGTCCCGTGTTCCCCGGCCCGTCGGCCCGCAGACCTCCGAATTAGCTCCCGGCTGCTGCGGGACTGGAGGGCTCGCTGTTCATTCCCACTCACGGCTTGTTGTTTACTGTCTTTTGAAGGGAAGTCAAAACACAAACGGGAGAGTTAAAGCAGGGGGAAGCAGACCCCTGTGGGTCATCCGCCGTCACCGTTTATCAGCCCGCGCCGCCGCCTTTTTCGGTGGAACCTGCCGCTGCCCGCCGGCTGCTGGGGTGGGGTGCACGGTTCTCAGGTAGACCCGGGCCCGGCCCCGGCGAAGCGAGGCGAGGAGGGGGGCGGCCGTAGAGATCGGGAGCACCTCGCAGCAGTCTCGGGCTCCGCTGTTTCAGGAGCGCAGGTAAAGGCGCTTGGGCTTTGCCGGGTAGTTTTAAATTGTAACACTTCAACGTTTTCTCCACTGATACTCTCCGGTGGAAAAAGTTAATAATATAGGCGCGCGCGTGTGTGTGTATATACCTTCGGAGACTACGTGTAGTCTTCCTATACAGTGACGGTATGTTGGCATCCTTCTAAAGCAGTTTCACCAGAAGCAAAAGAATACAGTACTGCTATTTTAACCGAATCCATCACAAACGAAAAACAGTTGACACTGACCCGCCCAACACAAGTGTTGCCAGAGGTGAAACAAAGTTTGGAAGTACTGTACATTTCGTATAAATCCCTCTAAATCGAAAAACAAACTGGTGCAAATTAAGTCTTTTCACGTATAAAGCCTTTAATCACATATAAACGAAATTACAAGTGACCCTCTAAAGCAGCGCTTCCGGCCCTCCTGTAACTCATGCGAGCGATTTGGCTAAGTGTGCCAGCTCCAAACGTGAACCGCAGCCATCACGTCTAATCTAATCAGTCCGCCTGTGAGGGGACCCAGTGGTGTCATCAGCTCCAGAGGGCCCTTGGTGGAAGTGGCTGGGAGAGGCCAGCGGCAGCTGGAGCCATGAATGACACTTTCTCATTTGTTCCTTTCCCAGTTCAACAAATGTTTAGCCCCGTTGCCGCTAAATGAACGTCTCGCGCTCTTTGGCTCCGGGAAGCTATTTATTTTTAAGATTCCTGAATAGGATCAGGAGCAATTAACTTATTTTTTGTTTCCATTTTTCTGTCAGTGTATTGGGAGGTAACTTGGAGCAAAGCAAAGAGCTGGTCGCTGTGTGGGCCGGGCTCGCCATGGCGACGGGGAGAAGGTGTCTGCCGGACCCTTCTCGATTCTGGTGGGGCCCGTTGCGATTCGCCGCTGCTGAGAGGGAGGGAGAAGCCAAGAGAAAAAAGTGAAAATAAGAACAAAAGCAGGAGCCGTGCTCCGTAGTGGTCGCTCCTGGACGGATACCGGAGAGGGCTCCCCGTCGCCCCGGCTGCTCGCCCGGCGCCTCTACCCGGGCACGGACACAAGGGAGAACTGCGCATCACTCGGAACGGGGCGTGGAGAGGGGCGACACGACAGTACTCCTCCTAAGGCCGAAAATGTAAACTTTTTGTGTGTGTGATTGTTCCTTTTTGTTTGTTTAGCTGCCTCTTTTTTTCTTCCCCCCCCCCCCCCCCCCGCCATCGCTGTTAGGACAAAACGCGCCAGTGTCGGTGGGAGGTCGGCCATGATGTTTCCGCGGGTCTCAAGGGCGTCGAGGGTTCCGTCCGTTTCGCACAGAACGAAGCCGTCTTCCCTCTCGCCTTCCCTACTGCCCTGCTGCTGCTGTGCGGCTCCCGCCGTCTGTTCCGCGCTCGTTTGCTGACAGTCAAACGTCTGATTCAAAACATAGGTAGGTGCAAAACGGGCACTCTCTGTGCAGGAACCCGCCTCACAGCCTTACACCCACTCCCCGACCCCCCGAGCTCATTGCCGTGTCCCTCGTGACACTAGTGCCCCAGCCATCCTCTGCGGTGGGACTCTGGTGTGTTCCAGGAGGAGTTCTGACACCCCCCCCCCCCCCCCCCCCCCCCCCCCCCCCCCCCCCCCCCCCCCCCCCCCCCCCCCGCCCCAAGCCTGGAAACACCACACTAGAGATCCCCGAGATCCCCCCGTGAGGAGAGAGTCCAGGAGATGTGTGAGTGCCATGTCCACAGGGCCAAGGAGGGAGGGAGGAGAGAGGAGGGAGGCCGCCTCGCTGGGAGCCTTTGATGAGCACCCAGTGCCCCGGGAGCCTCTCGCCTTCTCGATGCCCCTGTGCCCCGGGAGCCACTCGGTCTAGCGGTCTCTCCAAAGCTGCGCCGGCTCCTGCGCAGGGGTCTTCTCGCCAGCCCCTCGGTGTCGGGTTTAAAGAGCATGGTGCCTCTACCCAGTGTCAGCGGCGGGACCCGTCGGTGCGGGCTTCAGAGGGCTTGGCCGGCTGGGGCGGGCAGTGCAGCAGGGGAGCTGCGGTGCCGGGACAGAGGCTTTGCTCCGCTGGAGGTGGGAGGCTCAGTGCCCTAAGTCGCCCTCGTCACCGAGGAGGTTCCCACAACCTCTACCTTGGCTTACCCCTTGTCCGGCGTAAGCGATAGCCGAGAGGGCGAGCTCTTGGCCCTGGGAACCCCCTGCCCAGCGGCAGGAGAGCTGTGAGGGTCAGCGCCACTTTCCTGCGCGGAGCACTCCCGGCCATGGTTTCTTCTGGTTCGGCTTCTACAGCCCCTTTTATACCATTAAGGCGCGGGGTGGGGGGTGGGGGAATTAAAGGAGCCCCCTCTTGTCCCCTTGCTGAAGGCTCCTTGCATTCTGTGGCTGCTTAGGAGGCGGTGGCGGGGGCAGTGTGCCCATGGAAGTCCCCGCAGCCCCGGGACAGCGTGGCGGGCCCGCCGCCGGCTGCCTCGCAAGGAGGCGATGTGGCCGCTCGGGACGGGCACACACCTCCGGAGCGTGCTGAGGGTTTAAACACCCAAGTTAAGATGTAAAGGCGGCCCCTGTACCTGCCCTCGCGGGGCTCTGCCGCGGCTGCTGGCAGCAGCGGTGCCCAACGCTGGAGCAGTCACGCAGGTACCTACTGGACTTCTCAAGCTTGGCACTGGTTCACGGTTTCACAAACCTAGTTGCTGAGAAGATACTTGAATTTGGAAGAAATGGAAGGACCTTTGAAGCACTGTTGTTTCTGTACTTGTCTTCCATTGATCTCTGCTTTGCTGTGTCTCTAGCAGTAACTTTGTGTCTGAGTCAATTTCTCTGAAATCCCAAACATCTTGTCACTTCTTCATGGTTACATCATTTTGGCCTTTGTTTTTTGTTTGTTTGTTTTTACTGTTTCCTTACTCAAATAATCTGTGTTTTGGTTTGGTGTGTGTTTGGGTTTTTTTACTATTTCCTTACTCATTTCCATCTTACTGACAAATGTGTCTTGCAAGTACTGCATACAGACGAAACAGTATAGTGAAGTTCTCGACATATAGGGTTTACAATGCATCACGCTTCATGAAATTTGATTAATTCAGACACACTTCACACNGCCAGGGAGTGGGGCAGGGGGAGAGGTGGTGGTAACCCAGAGACCAGATCACTGACATGTTTGTGATGGTCACAAGTTAACCCTTGAGTCAGGATCTGGACAAATTGGGCACATAAACAAGCACATGTGGGGCTATAGCTGACGGAGAAATCGTTGCTCCTCTTCCATTGCTGACTTGCAGCCTTGAATG